GGAGATCCGCCTAGCTCTCATCAAGTCCCCCTTGGCAGGGCCGGCTCCAGGCACCAGCTTACCAGCAGATGCTTGGGGCGGCCACTCCGGAGAGGGGCGGCACGTCCAGCTGTTCGGCGGCAATTCGGCGGAGGGTCCCTCACTCCCGCTCAGAGCAAATGACCTACCGCCAAATTGCCGCCGCAGATCGCGGTCGCGGCTTTTTTTTTTTTTTTGCCTGCTTGGGGTGGCCAAAACCCTGGAGTCGGCCCTGCCCCTTGGGTCCCACCCCACCCCATTATCCCTCTCCGGGATCTCCCCTGCCTAGCTCCCAGGGCCCTGTCCCATCCCCCCAGAGCCAGACACCCCCCCTTCACCCTCCATTCCTCCCCTTGCTTAGTCCTGCCCCACGGGACCCCCTAATGCTCCCCACAGCCAGATAAAGAGGCAACCCCCCCTGCTCTGGGATGGAGGAGCCCTGGGAGAACATGGTGCAGTCGCCAAAAAGGCAACTATCATTCAGAGGCTGGAACAATGTAAATCACAGGAGACGATGGTCCAGCCCGGTTTGGCTCTGAGGAGGCCTCGGCTGGATACTGCATTTAAATGCGGGCCCCACGCTTTAGGAAAGATGTGGACAAATTGGAGAAATTTGAGGAGAGGAGAGCAACAAAAATGATGAAAGGTTTAGAAAACCCAACCTCTGAGGAGAGGTTAGAACAGGGATCGGCAACCTTTGGCACGTGGCCTGTCAGGGAAATCTGCTAACGGGCCGGGACCGTTTGTTTACCTGCAGCGTCGGCAGGTTTGGCCGATCGCGCCTCCCACTGGCCGCGGTTCGCCGTCCAGGCCAATGGGGGCTGCGGGAAGAGGCGCGGGCCGAGGGACGTGCTGACCGCCGCTTCCCGCTGACGGGCCGCGTGGCAAAGGTTGCCGATCCCTGGGTTAAAACAATTGGGCCTGTTTAGCCTGGAGAAAAGACCGAGGGGGTCAGATCTGGGAAGGGCTAGAGAGAGGCTGGGGGTGAGTTGTATCCACAGCCGCTGACAGTAGGTCAAGACGTGATGGGCTTAATTGGCCGCAAGGGAGCTACACAGCGCTGCCGGGAAAGCGGGGCCAGGGCTCCAGCAATCATTGGCCATTCAGAGTGAAGCAGCGAGCCGAGAGGGGCTGGGGCTCCGAACTGCCCTGGCCCACGTTAAGGGAGAAGAGGTTAGATAGCAGGAAAACCCCTTTCTAATGTCAGGGGAGCGAAGCTCTGGAACCGGCTCCCAAGGGCGGTTGTGGAGGCCCGGTCCTGGGAGGTTTTTAGGAACAGGGACAAACACCCAGCAGGGCTGGTCTCCGCAAGGGGTGGCCGGGGTGTTCCTAGGATTATTCAAACAGCAGCAGCGAGAGGGGGCGCCCTGCTGGGAAGGGCCACAGGGGGCAGCAGACGCTAAGGAATGAGAACAGGTCTCTGAGCAGAGGGACGGATGCCCCAGATAGACGCCTGCCCTGCAGGTCGGGCATTGGAGTCAGCGCCCCTCAGCTGAGCTCCCACGCACTGCTCCCTGCCCCACAGTGCCCCCTAGAGCCGCCCTGGGGCCAGCCCTGCCTGCCAGGGGAGAGCGCCCCCTGCTGAGCCCCCCGCCCTGCTCCCTGCCCCACAGCGCCCGCCCTGCCTGCCCAGGGGAGAGCGCCCCCTGCTGAGCTCCCTACCCTGCTCCCTGACCCACAGCAGCCCCTAGCGCCAACCCTGCCTGCCCGGGGAGAGTGCCCCCTGCTGAGCCCCCCGCCCTGCTCCCTGACCCACAGTGCCCCCTAGAGCCACCCTGGGGCCAACCCTGCCTGCCAGGGGAGAGCACCCCCTGCTGAGCCCCCTGCTGAGCCCCCCACCCTGTTCCCTGTAGTACAGCACCCCCTAGAGCCCCCCTCCCTCCCCACCCATGAACCGTCCGTCCTGGAGCCCCCCGGCCTCACACCACACACAGCTGCAGCCTGTGAACTATATCATGGGTGTGGGGGGGGTGTCTTTATCCTTTTCTCCCAACATGGACCCAGGGGAAGACGGCTGGTGGCTCAGCCCACAGCTGCTCCCGCCCCCTTCGGCGCCTCCTGGCCTGGAGCGAGGTCTCCCTCCGCAGCTCCAGCAGCACCCAGGGGAGGTGGGCCTGGGAGGCGGGGGGCTGCGCTGGTTCCCGGGGGATGATGGAGGAGAATGGCAGAGGGTTCAAGCTGGGAAGCCTCTGCCGATCCCGTCTGCTTCTTCTGCCCAAGGAGGGCCCCGAGAGGAGCACGTCCAACTGTCCGGGGACCTTCAGCAGGGGTGGCCGTGCAGTGGGGTCAGGCTGAGAGAGGAGCAAAGATTTGGGGCACATGGTTCATTTCCAGGCTGCAGAGGGGCAGGTGCCAGGCAAGGAGGGGACAGGCCCCGGGGAGGGAGAGGGGATGCTCTGCTCCGAGGTGCAGAACGTGGGTTCGTTCTGGGCACACCCAGGGGTGGAGGGTCAGGGCCGGTCCCCGGAGAGAAGCCGCCCGTCTCGCCCCAGGGGGAGAGCGGAGCGAGAGCTTTTCAACTAATTGGGTTTTTTTCCAGTAAAAAATTGCATTTCTGGAGGGTTTGAAACTATGCACCAAATTCAAAGCGCAATTTCAGTGTGTGTGTGTGGGGGGTGGGGGAACCAAACGAAGAGACTCCAAACCTTTCCTTCCGCTGCCTTTCACATCGATCCGAAAAGGCATTTCAACCTCAAGTGTGGCCAGGAAAGAAATTAAAAAAGGGCAAAAGGCACCTGAAACAGCCAGATCAGAACAAGCCCCTGGAGCCGAGGGGGGTTATTTAAAGTCAGAAATCTTTCAGCCCGCGCGACATGAACGTGGAATTTTCGATGCAACAACCAAATGGAAAACGCTTGGTTTGGGTTCCCTCAAACCAGTTCCCTGCCAGGCACCCTGGGATTTCTCAGTTCTGCCCCCAAAGCCCCAAGTCCCTTTTACACAGCTCTGCCCGGTGGCCTTTCAGGCAACCTCATTCCCCACCCGCCCAGATCTCCCACCGGCCATAAGCTTTCAGAGGCACTGGGCCCTGACCCTGCCTCCCGGGAGTCAACATGGCTGCCGCAAATTGTCCAAGGCTCCCCCGCCCCCATGGAGACACCCCTTGGAGATGGGCCCATCTCCGCCCCCCATTGAGCTGTGGAGGGAGCAAGGTGAATCGCGGCTGTGCCCCGGGGCTGGGAGACGCCCTCGGCTCTAACTCACGGCACACTTGCTCCTGGGGGAGCGGCTCAGCAGATCCTGCCCCCCCATTGCTGTCTCCTGCGCCTGGGGACTGGCCACCGTCCTCTCGTACGTCGATGTCTCCCCAGAGGAGACCAGGCTCCCCATGGCAGCTGGGCCACTGTCTCCAGCCAACACCTTGAGATGCCCTCGCCCCAGAGGGCACTACTGGGACAGCGAGGGGGGGAGGCTGACCTCACCAGGGGGTCCCATGGGGCTGCTGAGTGCAGGGACTGGCTGCGACAGAAGGGACTTAAAGGGGGGGAAATTGGAAGATGAGAAAGTCCCATGGTCCCCCCACTCCAAAATTCACCCAATGCGGAGATGCAGCTGCCTCTGGGGTGGGGCACAGGGCTGTTTCAACAGGGACCCTTTGTCTGTGCACCTTAGCACCCCGTTGGGATCAGCACGAGGAGACAGGCCCCTCCTGAGCCCCCCTCCTTGCTCCTTGTGCCCCCCCCAACCCCCAGCACCAGGCTGGGGCACTGGGGTCAGAGCTGAGTGAGGGGAGACTGTCCCCCAGCCTGGCCCCTGCCGAGGCCCCCACCCCATCCCGGGCACTGCACAGAGCGAGGGGAGACCGCCCCCTGCTGAGCTCCCCAGCCTGCCGAGGCGCCCCCCTCCCCCCCCCGGGCACTGCACTGAGCGAGGGGAGACCGCCCCCTGCTGAGCCCCCCACCCCCAGCAGAACATGCAAAGTTTTGCAGTGTGGTTTTGTTTATTAAGATAGAAACTTGGTACAAAGGGGCGGTTCCCGTACAAAGCCCCGCGGCGCGGCCCACGGGAGAACATGGCACTGTTAGATGGACGCACCCAGTCCCAGCGTGGGACGATCCCTTGGGCTTCGGGATCGTGTCCTCTCCCCGCCCAACCCAAGCCCAGGGCAGAGCTGGGACAGGGGCAGCCGGCGGTGCTGTTCAGTCCCGCACAGGCTGGGGGGCTGACGGGGACACAACAGGGGCAAAGGACCCCTGGCAGCTTGCCAGCCATGTGCATTCAAAACCGTGCGTCGCGCACACACGACCACAGGGCCTCATGCCCCAGAGGTGGCTGCAACAGCCTAAGGCACATCAGGAGGGTCACAGAGCAGAGGGAGATTCAGATGGCTGGGGGGGGGGGGGGGGGAGGGGCGTCCGATT